TGCAGGTAGCGGCCTTGCGATGAGCTGATCCCTCGTCCAAGGAGTCCTATCGACTGTGTATTGGATTAATTGAAAAAGCGGCGAATGTCCAAAGGGCTTTAAAGCCTGAGAGTGATGCACTGGAATACGGCCCAAAATTATTAATTATAAATCGCTCAATAATTTATTGATGAAAACGAAATTTGGCGAGTACATACCTTGGTAGAAATGGAAAACAGAAGATACTGAAACTGACCCTGTTTCACCTCCCTAGCAATCGTTCGACCACAGGGCCTATACCATGTAAGTGACTTTGCCCAAAATAATGGAACAGTGTTTTCTGAGTGCATGTCATCTTTCTCGGTGCCACCTGTACTATCCCTGCATTTGCCTGGATGTTCTGACAAAAACCACGAGAAATGTGACAGCGTTGTTAAATTAACTACACACAAATAAACAAAGAATAGCAGATGCGAACTTACCGAGCAGGAAGGCCGGGTCCCTGTTGTCCTCCACCAGAGTAGTCAGCACAAGGAACAGCGGATGTGACGTCGGAAGGCGGTCGAAGTCCGTCGTACAATCATCGTACACAACAACTTCTTTAAAGGTCCTTTTCTTCAGGAGGTCCTTCCCTTCCCTGGTAGTTGCCAAATCCGCGAGTGTTGCCTTACCCTGCTGGAGCCTCTTTCTGTTGAATCTGTCGGAACAGTTGACGTTGATGGAGCCTCTGATGTGGTTCACATTGTACGCAATGAAGGGCCGACAGTCCACGACCAGAAAGTTCCTACCTGCCGATTTGCCACTACACCCGGTACTAGACCGCTCCAGCTTCCTCACAAGGCTATCAGGATCCAAGGGCTTAACTTTCTTCATGACAAGGGATCGCTGAAGGGTGGCACTTTCAGAACAGGGTGAGGCGGGGAGGCTGACAGACTCCAGTTTGCAGCGTTTGGGAGGCACGAGGAAGCCGCTGGGTGACGGCAGATCTGGGGGTCCAGGTTCACTCAGGCTCCTGTTCAGAGCGAGTTTGAGGCCGTCCCTCGGCCGTCCCGAGCCCAGCTCGCAGCATACAGACATGCTGACGTCACGACCTATATCGGGGCCCGCGGCCGCTGCAACAAGAACACATACACACATTGACTTGGCATCACGCCCCACACCCCCGCCCCTCAACAGGCGCAGTAACAATAATAATGGCAAAAAAAATATGGGAAGATAATATTAAAATGGTCATCAGACAAAGAGGATGTGGGAGTTTGGGCTGGATTCGTCTGGTTAGTATAGGGACCACTTGCGGACTCTTTGTGAATACAGTAATGAAACTTTGGGTTCAATAAAATGCTTAGAATATCTTCAGTGGCTGAGAAACTGGTGGGTTCTCAGGAAGAATTCAGCTTCATGGAGTTAGTTACGGCAAAGGTAAAGTTGTCTCTGTGGTTAATTAACCACCACGGCATGAAGGCGTATGGGGAATTGAGGTATAACTCCATTCTTTCTTAACCTCGGCACAATTTTTTATATTGTTATGCTTCTTTACAATCTACATCATTACAGAGTATTAAGTAAATGTGTTGTAGGTGGTTAGCTTGCAAGGGAAACATCCAGTGATGTGTCTCCTACATGTAGTCTATTTCATTGATTGATGTCGTCTTGGGGCCATGTTCTGTTCAGTCTTCTTGTCACTGGACCGTTGGTGTATAGTTCTTCTATTAATTCGTTGTCATGGTTTACAGTTTGGTTTTTGTACCTTTCAGCCATTCTTAGTAATTTCATTTTTGACGAAGGGTACCTTTAGTTCGTTGTGGAATGTAAGGTTGCTCACATACCATGGCGCGTCTTCAATTGCCCTTAGTGTTTCTGATTGGAATCTCTGGATGAGACTGACTGTCGACGGCTTTGCACATTCCCAGAGCTGAAGACCATAGGACCAAATAGGTTTCAATATAGCTTTGTATAGTAGTATTTTGTTGGTCATAGAGCGCTTTGATTTTCTATTGAGNTGTCTCCTACATGTAGTCTATTTCATTGATTGATGTCGTCTTGGGGCCATGTTCTGTTCAGTCTTCTTGTCACTGGACCGTTGGTGTATAGTTCTTCTATTAATTCGTTGTCATGGTTTACAGTTTGGTTTTTGTACCTTTCAGCCATTCTTAGTAATTTCATTTTTGACGAAGGGTACCTTTAGTTCGTTGTGGAATGTAAGGTTGCTCACATACCATGGCGCGTCTTCAATTGCCCTTAGTGTTTCTGATTGGAATCTCTGGATGAGACTGACTGTCGACGGCTTTGCACATTCCCAGAGCTGAAGACCATAGGACCAAATAGGTTTCAATATAGCTTTGTATAGTAGTATTTTGTTGGTCATAGAGCGCTTTGATTTTCTATTGAGAATACATTTGGCGATATTTCATGTCAAGTTGTTTTCTTTTAGTCTGGATGTGTTTTCTCCAAGTAAGCCTTTGATCGAGGTAGAGGCCGAGATACTTTGTGTCTGTGGCTGTAGGTATTTACACGTTGTTCATTGTTACTTGTGGGCACATTTCGTGTCTCGTGGTGAATGTTATCTGGACAGACTTCGTTTGATTAAACGTTGTTCGCCAAGTGGTGTACCAGTCGCTGAGAAAATTAGTGATTTTGCTGGTTTTGAGACGATGTTAGCGGGTTTTCACTAATAGCAACGAGAGCCACGTCATCAGCAGAAGATGCTATCTTGGTGTTTTCGGTTTCAGGTATATCAACAGTGTAGATCGTAAATAGCAATGGCCCCAGGACACTACCTTGGGGGACTCCGGATTTAATGGGATGTAGATTGGATTGTTGGTCTGACTGCTTGACGGAGAAGTTCCTGTTGGAGAGGTATGATTTTTGAAGGAGATAATAATTTTGAGAAAGAGAGTTTTTTAAAATGAAGAGTAAGCCTTGGTGCCATATTTTGTCAAAGGCTTGGGATATATCAACAGAAATTAGTACCAGGAATTAATTAAATAATTTTCCTGGAGAGTAAAGCGCGGCCGGCGCGTAAGACTGACAACCTTACCGCCATCTTTGAGCCGACTGTCTAGATAATGTCTCAACGTCTCACAATCCTATGGGCCTTCACGGCCTGGTACAAGGATAGCTATACTTTTTTTTTTTACTTTAAACACGGCGAGCGTATGTACTTTTGACGGATCACCTGTCACTCCTGTCGAATGAGGCTTGCCTCGCGGCGCTCTGGTGGGCCACCTGCTGTCACCGCCTATTTCGGACACTCACGCAGTGTCGTGGGACGGGACACAAATGCGACACTGCTGGATGCTGGAATGCTACTAACATTTCTTGGGACAGATCCGTACTCCTTGAATTAAGGATTTCAGGCCTGTACATTACTAACACGCTTTCATTAATCAGTCTCACCTATCTGGACTCTTTTAGTTAACATTTTTCAGATACTTAAAATACGATAATCGACCGTTTTCAGATCTTTAAATAATTTAATAAAATTTGAACGACTATCAGGTCCTGAAATATTTTACTGACTGGACGATTTTCAGATATTACATACTTTAAATTCACAAATTTCAGGTCTTCAGACTATTTAGTTAACAATATTCAAATCTCTAAAATACGTTAACAGTTTTTTTATAAATGCTCTAATCCTCTTGACTGATTAAAATATTTTCAGGGACAAAGTTACGTAATTGGGACCATTGAGCAGCATTGTGTACGCACCGCCAAAGCGGATACACACACATGATCTGGCGGAGAGCACTTGTTCACATAACCCACACACGCATTTGCTTTGAATAACAATGTCTCAAGGGCACGCTATCATATCAATAAAATGAGTTATAGGCACGGCATGTAGCACAAATATGAGAGTAGTTTGGGTAGGAAAATATTAGGAATGGGACGGCTAGGAAGGCCTAGGCATAGATGGGAGAATATGAGGCCTGATCTTGAAGAATGGGGGAATGTGTGGACTAGATTCAGCTGGCTGAGGATAGGGTCCACTGGCACGCTCTTGTGAACACGGTAATGAACTTTCTGGTTCCATAAAATGCTGGAAACTCTTGAGTAGCTGAGCGACTATTAGCTTCTCAAGACGGACTCAGTTGCATTTAGTTCGTTATACACACAACTGAAAATAATTTCGTTTCTGGCTAACGCACTTGGATGAAACACTTTTCATTAAACCAACACGTAAAATTTGAAATTTTTATGGCCATGAAAATTTGTGGTTTTCCGGTTTGTGACAGCGTGGATACCAACAAGAAGGCACAATGTTTCTCCTGAACGGTGCGAAACGTCAGTTCCCACCTACCAGATCACACTATCTTACCAAGAAGACCACAAAACCTACAGTATATAGGATTCTACGTCACCATGGCATGGCGCGTCCTCCGGCTGCGGATGAAGGAGACGCAGCCAAGGTACGGTGGCCAGCGGTGCTAAGCGGCCGTAGACAACCGACATGGGGCAGTCCTCCGGAAAGGGAATGGGTGTGGCATGACAATTCAGAGCAAAAACACTATTATACGAGTATTACGAAACGTCACGAAGGGCCTGGAGCTTTGGAAGAAGCCTCTTTCTAGACCTTGGTATAGATGGTATTTGTATTGATCTTGGGGCGATACAGTATGAAGATATGAACTAAATTCAACTAACTTGAGACGGATTCAGTTGCGGAATTCTACGGTGCATCCCTTAAGAGCAAATAATTTCTTAATCAGCTGAGCTACTATCAGTTTTCAAGTCCACACAGTCTAGACCGTACAACAGAGAAATCACTGTTAGATTATCTACAGGGGTAAGAAATGTTTTCTCTCCTCCTGTGTACAGATTCTCTCTGGGGTCCACCCAGCCTCCTATCCAGCGGGTATCGGGTCCTTTTCCTCCAGGGTATAGTCACCGGGTCGCGAAACTAACAACTAACCATTCGCCAAGGTTTAATAATGCGTGGATGCGTATCTCCACTGCCCCCCATACGTCTTCGTGGCATGGTGCTTAGTTGAATATCGACTTCACCTTTTTCTTCATGGATGCTTCAACGTATAAGGAATTTTCAGCCCGAAATTTTTATGTGGTATGATATTTTATTCCGTTCAGTTTAAAAGCCGTCTGAGATGTGAACAGCAATTTAACACTCGTGCCCAGACGAACCCTGAAATTATGTGGTCTCAACATGGGACACACGTACACAGACTTCGCCTATGTAAACCATGATGATGTGTCAAAATTAATATTATTTCAATGATCTTATGGCACCTAAGGCCTGAATCATAGTGGAATGTAACCCTGCGGTCCGCAAGCGATAACGGCCCTCTACAGTATCGTCGGTCGAGAAGCATAGACTGTACTGTCCGTGTCTCTAGATCTGGCCGCTCTCAACAGAATGTGCAGGAGATCTGCTCGAATCCCTCCCACAATATAAAAACACCCACTACCTTACTGCTTTTCGCTTTTCCTCAAGCACAATCCAGGGGCCAGGTCTAACAGTAGGGCCTGTACCTCATGTCCACACACTGGTGAGGAGGTCTGTCTATTAATGGCTTAATTAACAACGCTTTCTGCAGCTCATATCTGAAGGAACGGTAATGTTGTCCCTGTGCTTAACTAATTAAGCACTACGCCATGAAGACGTAAGGAGTGGATGTATAGATCCACATTTTATTGACCTAGGCACTAGATGGAGGTCAGTGGTCAGTTTCAAGCCCCAGTCGCTTTACTCTCGGGGAAAGCCACCGGTACCCATTGGATAGGAGGTTGGGTGGACCCCAGAGACGATCTGGACGACTTGGAGAAGAGAAAATTCTTCTACGGGGACTCGACCCCTTGGTCGCCCAGCCCGTAGCCAGTCCCTATACCGACTGAGCTATCCCGGTTCCTTGCCGCTTGAGCCAGCTTAATTAATAGAGCGGAAGAAATTTTGGACAGTGGAGGTATTAATACCTCACTTCCTTAACAGATCGGTTACAGTGGCAAGTGCACAGACCACGTGCCCTTAACAGCTCTTCATTTTTCGCAGAGTGCATCTGTATTGCATGATTTTTAAAGCAGCGATATTTCCCAAACAGCATTTCGATGGAGAAGATTCTTTGGGGGGAGGGGGGGGGGAAGCCGACTGCCTGGT